ATAACTATGAAGGACTATATTACCATAACTTATGTGAGAAGACGTCGAACAAGTTTATGTACAGCATGGAGCTCAAAAGATGAGTCACTACCTTCTGGGTTGCATTGTGCACCCTCTACCCTTACTTATGTCAGTCACGGTATATAACCGCTTTTTGCGGTTGCATTTATTGGTAATTTATCTGATAAAATTAAGTATATTTTGCACCTGTGCATAGCTTAAAACAACTACAGTAATAGACAAAGTTTATTATAGATCTTTTTAAAATAGCAAGCAAAAAAAATAAAGCATTTGGACTAAAGAGACCGGCTAGTAAGGAATTGAGTTATAATCCAACACCAGCACTGAGAGATGTTGCCCTAGTGACAAAACAACAAAAACTGACCTATTAGGAGACTTATTACCCAATCAAAGCAATTTGTTCGAAGTATAAAAGAGAGAACTGGTAGCAATAAGTTTCCTAGAACTTTGCAGTCAGAGTAACATACCCAAATATCCAGGAGGAGAATGAGCTAACGTTCAGATTGTAAAATCAACAGTAAAAGTTAAGGCATTTAATGAGAAACGGCGGCTATTCACAAATCTTCTCATTAATTTTAAATTGATACACGTCATAGTGGTACGAAACACGTACAAATTTACAACCACATAGAATATTATATCAATCGAGAAGATATCTTGTGAACAGAAAAGAAAAAAAAATTATATACATGGGTTGCATCTCTGTCTCTAGTGTTGGTGAACTTCTATATATAAAAACCTGTTCATGGAAAATAAGTGAAAGTTTATGACATCATTTTTCTGCAGATTCCCAGATGGAAGGAGGTGAACTTGTAGATTCAAACAGGATTCACTTATTATGATTTGCTACACTTCCCGGGAAGTCTCCGTGGGTACGGTAAGCGTAAGCACAGGCGCCGATTGACGTCGTTTCCGTAATCGTTCAAATGCACTTTCTGGTGAGGCATCCAGCAATGGTGAATTTCGACGTGACCATGCTCCTCTGAAATGTCATATTTTCATTCCTAAAAGCTTAGAAACGCGATTAGTAATTTGAAGCTTACCGTGAGGCATGTTGTAATAATGTGTGAGAATACTTGGATATTGACATCCGAGCTTTTCGGGACGCTTCAAACGCTTTGTTGCGAATTTCTTCTTGAAGGATAAAGTAGCACATCGAAAACAATACTACGCCTGCAAAAACGCTCGTTAAGCAAAATTTTGATAGCAAAGGCTTAGTCTTGCTG